TAAAAAAACAAGTGACAAGAGAATAGTTTACTGGTCGTTAAACGAGGAATCAGTTTTCTATTGTTATTCATTCTTCTTCGTCTATACGCCGTGTCTCTTTAGAACGTTTGTGATCATGGCTCTCCACAATTTCCTTTCATTTGTAGCTCTTAATAAATTTGTCTTTTTGTTATCTCTCCTAAACCGTGTCCCGTTAGGTGGGTTATGATTTGTTTTCCTCTGTCCCTATTTCTTTCAATCTGATTTGTGAGTATCAAATTTTCCGAGCCATCTTTCCTCATTATGTGCCCTCGAAATTTCAATTATCTGATGTTAGACATAAGTGTCCTTTTTTTCCATTTTCTCTAAAACTTCGACGTTGCTCAGATGTTTGGTCCACGGTATCCTTCTGTAGAACCACATTTCTGTTGCTTGAATTTATTATGTGTATAGGTCCCACTAAGTCGTCTGAAGATTGCGGGGGCGTGAAACTCGGATTACGACTAGAGCCATCCTTTCATAGGATATAACGTTATTAAGCGTTTTTTGCTCAATCTAGGCAACCTAGGCTTCGAGCACTTTACTGATTAGGTAAGTTTGCCTTTGGCCTTTTTTTTTTCTCTTTCTTTTTTTAGTGTTATCGATTTTATTTGAGACTGTATCTAGATAAGTGTTTTAGGTTTTGGCAAGTTGTCCGTTGATTCCATCAGCGGTCTTTTTTTTTCATAGGGTGTATTTCGTCAGCAAGAATTTTCTCAAAAATGTTTTATTAAATAATATGAACAATATCTATCAATATTTTTATTAAAGCTTTCCAATTTCGAAATAAGTTGTTTTGTGTTATTGGTAAATTTGCCAAAATAAAATTCATATTAACTTTTATTATATTTTATTCCCCTCCCCCGAGTACTTTCGAATCATGCTACATTCGTTTTCAAGGATTGTTCTGGGTGTTAGTCATGTGACTAGTTTTTAATTCCGGTTTTCTCAGGTTTAATGGAAACGTTAATGTATTTTGGCAAATCTACCGATAAAACAAAATAACTTATTCGGAAATTTGAAAGATTTAATTAAAAAAATTGATAGAACTTGTTTATATTATTTTACAAAAATTTTCATACAATGCCACGCAAAAGTTTACATTACAAAAAAATGTTTCTTTAACACAGATTAATGAAACTTTTACTGCTAATATTTAAGCCTTTAGTTTAGTCAAACAATTAATTAGATTTAAAAAGAAATAATCAATAAAAACATCCCACGAAGAAAAACCAATATTTAAGCAAAACTTTGCAATACATTTATTAAATCATCTATTAATACTTCATAGCGTAACCGTTATCGTTAAATTTGCCAAAATACATTAACTTTTCGATCAAACATGAAAACGTTGGAATTAAAAACCAGTTGCCTAACTACACGCACACACACAACAATCCTAATGAATGTAACAAGATTCGAAAGTACTCGGGAAAAATAAAATAAAAGTTAATAATGGATTTTGGCAAATTTAACGATAGAATAACAACTTAATCGGAAATTTGAAAGAAAAAATTGATAGACAGAAACTTATTAACAAAATATGTTTGAAATATGTTGTAACCTAGGAAAGGTTACTGAATGAGGAATAACCAAAACGGAGGTTGGAAATGAAATGGTAATCTTTATAATATCAACAAAATACAATATTCACTAGTGGCGTGAAGTAGGTAAACCACTGCTTGTGGTGGACTACTTAAACAGCATATTACCCCCACTTACAATAGTGGCCAACGGATTGTTTGGTTCGGTTTGTTTCACAGCATATCAACCACAATAGGTTATTTAATGTCGACAATTTTTATTGTTGGTCAGGTAATATTTTTTCCTTCAATAATGTATACCTGGTAATATTTTTTCTTCAAAAATTATTTGTTGCTGATAATAATTTTTTACAAAGTATTTCTGCTTAATTAAACCTATTTTCACGATGTTTTGACCCAAGTTTTTTTTTTTTTTTTTGGTGGGGAGTGGGGACTAACTCTTTGGCCATAGTTGGTGGTGGGTCAGGGTGGGCCTGGAAATACCAGCAATTAAGACGTCGTTCCGCTCTCCTCAAGACCTCCGGATCAGAGACCTTGCTGTTGGACGTAGTTTATTGTCTTATCCAGAACTCTGATGTAGTTTATGGTATGAGGATTGGGACATACCCATTAGTGTTTATAGGTATGGTATATAACATATATATATATATATATATATATATATATATATATATATTATTCGTTATTGTAATTGGTTCCTCAAAACGAAAATTACTTATGACTCATCCTAATATAACGGTTTCTAAATCAAAAAAACCAAGAATAGGGTAGACACGACAACAGAATTTGTTATGCTGGTCGTAGCACTTCAGGGTAATTAATTATTTGTTCTTTAATTATTACCTTGTTTTTCATTTAATTATCTCTTTGTCCAAATATTTTGAATGATGTATTTGATTTGGCTAACAAAACTTAAGTAATGTGTTAGAAAAACTAGTATGGAATTCTTTTCTAGTTTCTTGCTTTCTGGCCAACATTTATCTTCAAAAAATGTAAATGCAATATCAATCGTTAACTTCTGTTTTCGTAAAATCCTGTTCTTTTATTGTCCTCTTTCTTTAATATTGTTTTTTCTTTTTCTCTAATATTTTCTCACACTCACCAATTCTTTACATCATAATTCCTTTATTGCCTTATTTGTAGTGAAATGATTTTTCTTAAAAAGCCTCATTTAGAAACAAGCTTCCACATCCTGAACAGTATGGCTGGTATGAAACATGTGGAGGGTGCCACTAGAAAGGGGAGCCACTTATTAATTTCTTTGAAAGTAACACAAACCATTCTTGGATTATGAAAGCAAAATGTTCTTCAGGTGTGTGTTGTGTTTTTGATTATAATGGTTGTGAAACACTCGTTAACTTGTTAAACCATTTACATAAATTTTAGATAAAAAACAGTGTTTGGCGCTACATGATTAATTAACTCACAGTAACATTACTCACTGTTAACTAGGCTTACAACTATACTGAGTTAAAACAACAGTTCACATGATCACTGAAGTTAAGCAACATCAAGTCTGGTCAGTATCAAGATAGGTGATCACTTGGGAATACCAGGTACTGTAAGCTTGGATGTGTGGGTGGTGTAATGGATAATTGTTAATCAGTCTGTTGCATTTCAATTCCTGTTAGGTTCATTATATTCACTTAAGTTTCAATACCCTTGGGAAAAGTATAAATCCACCTCTTCTCCCCCACCTATGGATTAATTAGTAAGATTTGTATTGCTACACAATAATTATCTAAAAAATAGCCATATTTCAATAGATGCCCAATTTATTTATGAAACTGTGTATATGTTTATTTTCAAATGCTGGCCTGAATATTTGAAAAATCTTACAATAAATATGTGCTTTCCATGCAAGTTAGTCAAATGTGGAAGTTCTAAGGTGAATAGAAGTTACAAATAGACTGTTGCCAACAATCAGAAAATCTTGAGGCAAATTATGAGAAGAGAAAGCAAGGAGAATGTAACACTTACAGGGCACATGAAAGGTAAGAAAAGCAAAGGATAACCTACTTTTCAAATTAGCAAAAGGATGGCAGAACCGCAATGACAAAGGGAGGTCATAAAGCAGCAAGTACTACCAAGAGACGGGAAGCTGTGGAAGACCATGATCACCTATATCTTGAAGGGACATAGAGAAAGAGAGACTACTTTTACGATTTTCAGCAAATGGATGAAGGTACAATTACCACAAAAACAAAGGGAGATAATAAAAGATTAATAATTCCTGAGACTAGCAAAAAACAGAAAGCTGTGGAGAGCCATGATCGCCTATGACATAAAGGAATATGGTACAGAGAGAGAGAGAGCGAGAAAAAAGAGAAAGAACCTAATAGACAATATTGAACAAATGAATTGAAGAACAAGGACAACAAAGACAAAGAATGGTCATAAAGGAATCAGTACTGCCATGGACAGCAAATGACAGGAAGCTATGGAGAGCCATAATCATCCGTGTCCTGAAGGGACATGGCACACAGAATGAGAGAGAACCTATTTGACAATTTTAAGCAAATGGATGAAGAAACAAGTCACATAAAAACAAAAGAAGATAGTAAAGGAACAAATATTACCAAGATCCACAAAGGAAAAGAAGCTGTGGAGAACTATGATCGCTATTTGTTATTCACTCCAGCTGGGTTCAGGTTATATATGTTGGAATTTCAAACTGAACCCTTTTTTAGAATAGTTTGAAATTGTGCATATCTCCTGAAGAAGGCCGGAGTGTACAATGACCGAAACATGTCCATGAAGATGTGGACAACAATCCGGATGATACAAATAGTGTAAATGATAACCATCGTCCTAAATGGACTTGTTACATGGAAAGAGAAAAAGATAAAACCTGCTCGTCAATTTTCTATAAATGGAAGAAGGAACAATTCTCATGAAAACAAATGTTGATTCATTCATTCATTTTTTACAGCTTATCAACCCTATGCATGCTATTTAAAGCCAGAAAACATTTTTAGATTGTAAGAATTTCTTCGAGATAAAAATGGCTTTGTGATACAAGTCTTATTAACTAATTCATAGCTAGTGGGGAGAAGAGGCGTATTCATACCTTTCCCAAAGGTATTTTGCACATAAGTAAATATAATGAAACTCACTGGAACTCATCTCTCTGATTAATAATTGTGAGCCATTATCCATGACACCAACCAGCTAGTATTCCCAAGTGGTCACCCATCTAGACCAGGCTCAACACTTTAAATTCTGTGATCATATGGGAACTGGTATTTCAACATGATATGACTGTAAGACATACCACTCACACTTCCAAGCTTACAGAACCTGGTATTTACAAGCACTCACCCATCTAGGTACTGACCAGGGTTGATGTTGCTTAACTTCAGTAATTGTACGGGGACTGGTGTTTCAACAGAATATGACTGTAAGCCAATTACTACCCTCACATTCAAGTTTATATTTCCTGGTATTCCAAAGCAGTCACCCATCTAGATACTAACCAGGCTTCATGTTGCTTAACTTCAGTGATTGTATGGGAACTGGTGTTTCAATGTGATATGGCTATAAGTCCATTACACCACCAGCACATCTAAGCAAGAAGACGTGGTTTTCACAAGAAGTCACCCAACTAGGTACTGACCAGTCTTGATGTTGCTTAACTTCAATGATCCTATAGGAACTGACATTTCAATGTGATGTGGCTATAAGACTTGAAAACAAGGGAATTTCGTAAAAGAGCAAGGAATACTTAGAGCAGCATAAGACAGAAGCTGTGGAGAGCCATGGTCGCCTATGTACTGAAGTGATATGACAGAGAGAGGGAGAGATAGAGAGATAGAGAGAGAGAGATGAAGCAGAAGAGAAAAGGAGAAGAGTCAGTATTTTCTGTGCTTTTTACTCACTTTTTCTGGCTGATGAATAGAATTTTTTATTAAATATCAAACCGGAATCAAGTAAAGGAATGTAAATCAAGTTTCATACAAAACACTTAAAATCATTATTCGATTCTAAAGGTGAGAAATTTCTTTATACGATTCTTTGTGATAATTACAATTCATGACAAAACAAATTTAGTTATAATTTGTGACCTTTCAAACTTCCCTTTTTTGCTTCAAGACTTTAACGGCGTCTATGATTTTTCTTTACAACTGCCAGAAGAAGGTCATGTCATATAATAAACTTTAAGAATATCGAAGAAAAAAAAAGGCAATATTTTTAACCAGGGCAAAAATTTTTAAATATGATTGAAAAGTTTGACATTTCACCAAAATTAAATCAATTCAATTGAAATTAACTGATTTTTAAAGAGAAATTAATTATTTTCTCTTTAAAATTATTTTAGATTTTGCATTTTTCATATTTTTTTTTTTTTTGCAAGTGCTGAGCTGCTATGTAACAGCAATCCTCTTCTATGGCAACAAATGCTATATGATTTTCTCACAGGTGAAAGGAAAACTGGTGGCAACAGAAATCTGGAACTACAGAAGGATGCTGAGAATAACAAGCATGTAAGCAACAAGAAAATCTTTCAAAAATGGGAAGCAAAAAGGAGACATACTTAAAATAAAAAAGTGAGGTGAAATTTCTGGGATAGTGAGAAAAGAAGGATTGGAGAATTTGTTACACATAATTTGACAATCAAAGGAAGAAGAGGCAGTGGATTGCTTATCTGGCAACCACTTGTGTGAATGGAGGATGGAATCAGGGTGGGAAAGATGATAAAAATGACAAACATTATTTACATTATTCGGACTATTGTCCTCATTTTTGTCACCATATTTATTACAACGTTTCAGCTGTTGTACGCTCTGGCCTTCTTCAGGTGGTTGGAATGTCGAACTGAACCCTTTATTTCACACACTGGGGTAGACTGTTCTAGTTTCACATGCCATGTTTAATGGATGTCAGTTATCAGTTATCTCCTGTTAATTTTCCCTTTGAAAGTTCTCCACTGCCTTAGCTGGGTATTGAACTCACATTCTTTGGGTCTTGTCACTGGATCTAACCAATACCTTTATCCACTGTGCGATGTGACCTTCAGGACATCTGTGTATGAATTTCTGGGTATTATAAACCTAATGTCTTCAGCATCATTTTTTACCAGAGTAATTTTTGTAATTATCATTACATTATTATTGTAATTTTTGCTGTTATCATTGCATGTTTTTTTTACCAGAGCTCATATTGCAATTTTTGTTGATATTATCACTTTTCTCTGGCACTCCTTCTTACTGGTTCCCATATTGTATAGACAGATACAAAAAAGACAAACATTAGTAGGAGATATAAAGGATAGTGGAGAGACTCTCCCAGGTTGTGAAGAGACATGATTGCCTATGCCCTGAAGTTGTGAGAGCTTAGAATGTATTAGGAACATAATGTTATGTAAGAAGAATAAAAAGAAGACTTGAGATCTTGGATTTGCCTTTCTTTCTTTCTTTCCTATATACTCATTTTTATACTAGACCTACTGATGAAGTTGTCAGTGCTTATCATGTATTAGGAACGTAATGTTATCTTATTTTAGCATTGAAGCCTGAAAAGGAGTCGATGCTTGTATTCAATTTTGTCCACTGATAACCACTTTCTTTCTGACTGCCACATTTGGTCTGGTGCTTTTGCTATATATCAAGAGATTCTTGACAAAATACAAAGAAGAACCTGTTATGCTATTGATCCTGACCTGGCATCTTGGCTTCAGTCCCTTTCCCACCACTGTAACACAGCTTCCCTGTACTTTTTCTATAAATATTTTCATGGTAATAGGTTCTGATAAGCTTTCCTCTTTAGTACCTCATCTTTATATATTTAAGTACAGTACTAGATTGGCATTTAGGTCTCATGATTTAACTGTTGCTCATTGTAACCATGTTCTATGCTAATAGTTTCTTGTACCTTTCACTTGTGAAACTCTCTTCCAGCATCTTGCTTTCCTGCCAACTATGGTATTCAAAAATTTAAATGCATGCTCAACTGACATCTTCTGTCTCCTTGAATGTTGTTCTTTTATTGTCTTCCCTACATCAACCGAATCTGTGAGTAATGAGGGAGTTTCAAAATAGCGAAAAAAAAAATAGCTTGTACTTTTCTTTCTGAGACACATAATGAGGAAAGACAGCTTGAAGAATTTAACACTCACAGGAAGTAGTGAAGGTCAAGCGGAGCAAAGAGAAACATTGAGTTTGAGTAAATGAATAGCAGAAGAGACACTGGGAGTGATAGTAAGGGGACGGACATTGTCTACAAATGATAGGAAGTAGTGGAGAGTCATGATCGTTGATGTCCTCAAGAGACATATTAGCCCAATATATCCGGTAATATCAAAGTTTCTGGATGTATGTGCAATAATTGTCTTTCAGCAAAAATGTGCACTGAGGTTTTGTAATTGTGTTTTGGAACGTCTCTGCAATCTTTACAATGGTCAAAATATTCAAGCATCATTATGGCATCAGATTTTACAAATCCACAACTGGGAATGTTTTCTTAGAAGGCCTAAGAAAACATTCCCTGAATTCCAGGTTGAACGCAGCTGTTTAAGTGGCATGCGCATTTCAAGGTCAGTGGAGTGTCAGCTCAAGTTAATTAGCGTTTATGGGGACCAATTGCAGTGATATTTTTTTCATCTTATGAGGTGGTATCAATAACACTCGGTATGTTTTCAAAAATAAAAGATACAGAACATAAACAAAATGGCAGACAGGCTAAAATTTTATGAAACATTCATTAGAAAAAAATAAACCTGTGATGAGAGAAAGATAAGCAATCCCGTTGATCAAATGTCTACAGTTTGCAAAAAAAAAAAGGTATTACTTACATTGTTGCGTTCTACATGAAGAAATGAAAGATTGATTTGATTTCTTACAGTTTATCAATATTTTGCAGGTTATTTAAAGCCAGAATTGTTTTTGAGATAATAATGATTTACTGATAAGATTCATACTAATTAACCCATAGCTGGAGGAGAAGAGGTGAACTCATACCTTTCCCAAGAGTATTTGAGTGTAAGTGAATATAATGAACCAGACTGGAATTATAACTCAGCTCTCCAATTATCAATTCTGAGCTGTTAGCCATTACATTACCGGTACATCCAAGCTTACAGTACCTGGTATTCTCAATCAAGGTACCGACCAGACTTGACGTTGTTTAACTTTGGCAATTGTATGAGGACTGGTGTTCAACATGATATGGCCGTAAGCCAGGAAAAGAAATAATGTTGTTTATTGCTGTTGTTAGTACTGTTTCTTTGCTATGATCAATGGTAATGGTAATATCAGCTGAATGTTTCCATATCAGCAAGCAGCTGTTGACCAAGCAGCTGTTACTGAAATTTATAAAATTTTTCTCTTAAAACAATTCTTTGGGAAAATAGGTTTCTCAAGTCTATTTGCTGTTATCATTTTTTTTCCCAATATTGATAGAGGTTTCCTTCCTAACCTTTTATTTGAAATAGTGTGGAAGATCAGTATCTTGATTGTCATTATTTTCTCTTCAAGTTATATATGCTATCCATTTTAGTTGTTGCTGCTGTTGGTAGTCCTCAAGTGATGAAGTTTCTGTTATTTGGTACAGTTCTTTCTCTAGCACCATTCTACAATATTCAAAGCTGACAGTTTAGATATTTCTCAGTGAGTTTCGCGCCATGCATGACTTTGATGTGAAAGTCTCAATCTGACGAAGCTATTTAAGAACAAACACTAGAAAATGTAAGGTCCATTGCCGAACAGTGGCACCTGCTTTTTCTTATGATCAGAATCTACTATCTATATTTCTCATGTCTGTCTGTGTGTCTGTCGTGGGCGTTGTTACCTCGCCCAGGCCACATTTCTCACCTGATTTTGATGTGGTTTTCAACATGTTTGCAAATGGCTGCCGTAAGGACATGACGGAGTCCGATTTTTGAGTTCGGAATCAGGTTCCGAAAAAAATCGATAATCGAAAAAATCGAAAAAATTCTGCTTACAGAAGGAATGATCGCATTTCAACCAAATTTGACACCCTCTTAGAGTCTACCATTAGAAGTGTTGTCCAGAAGTTTCATGACCACGGGCCCCTAAACAGCGTGGAAAATCGATAAAACCCAAAACCGATACATTGCGTCTGAACTGCATGTCAGTTTTTAGCGAAAACCGAGCGGATTTATGAAGAGGCCATTGGGAGTCATCATGTGAAGTTTCAACTCTGAGCACCCCCCAAACAGAGTGCAAATCAACAATCGGTCAACCCTTAAAAATGTTTTTTCCGGTTTTTTAAAGCTGATCGTATTGTGTTTATTTTGTTTAGTTCTTTTTTCGTAACAGATTTAATGTTTACTATAGAGCTTAGAAAAAGTTGGCAGTGTGATATAGGCAAGAAGTAAGGCATGTAACAACATCAGCACGGCAAAGGGCACTCCTCTAAAGACAAGGAAGGGCAAAAATATTTTAAGTCAAGTGATAGCGATTGCTGTATTAGTCGTACTATTTTTGAATCAACCATGGGCAACGCCGGGCCATGCTGCTGGTCACTTATAGATCTGCCAAGGAATTTTATTTAAGAACTTTCCGTTACCAACTCATATATT